TTTTTCCCGTCGTTAAACTAGCAAAAGTGGATTCGGACACGCCCTGAGTACACCTGTGCCATGCGCTTTAGACCATGCGCTTAGATCGTTAAAATAGGGCCCAAGGTGTACATTTGCAAGGTGTACATGCATTCCAGGGTTGCCAGGTCTGCGAAAACAAAACCAGCCCAATTGTTATTCAAAACTAGCCCAACCACGTTTTTTCTGCGGTTTTGTAAACATCTGTGAAAGACGTACTTTGAAGACAATATGTGTCTATGGTCGTCATGTTTTATTTGGTTAGACTGCCAAAGCCCTTGAACCGTACATAAACAATTTAAAGGTTATACTTTGTGCTGTCAATTTGTCTTTGGACAACTAGGCATATATGTGACCCTGGAGCACTAAACCAGTCATAAGGGTCAATTTTTCGAAACTGAGATTTAAACATCATCTGAAAGCTCGACTTAACACTGGTTTTGTGCTCCAGGGTCACATATTTAAAATGTATAGCGCCTACATAAATCCATCAAATTTATCAACTGTCTAATTCATCTTTTTAAGTACTTCAAGTGCATCGCTATAAACATGTTTCATGAGTCCATTTGCCAGCATTCATTTTATGTACTTTACATGTTATTGCTGTGTGTCTGGATGTTCCTGAAGAAACTATATTGTGGATATTTAGCAGATGCTGCTATCCAGAACAGCTTGTTTGTTTACATCACATTTAGGGCCATATTTGCCTCTGTTGTAGACAATAAGCCTTTCTAAAACTGGTTCACCAGTGTCTTTTACTTGTTTTTTGAACTGAGACACATACAACGGGAGATTTGCCGTGATACGGCAGGAGAGGATGTGACAGAAGCTCTAATGCTGTCGAATCTGTCACTGGTTTGCTGCTTTGAGCCCCCTCTGAATCCTCTCTCCCTGCCGTTTTTCCATACAGAGGATAATGGAAACCTAGAATGGAAAACACACAACTTACACTTACAAGTAGTTTGTAGTACAAGCTCCACTACATGAAAGTTTTGGGGTCATATTTACGATGTACAAAAGATGATTACCTGGGTAATTATGCACCAAAGCTGGAGACATCACTCTGTAAGCATTGCTGCTTGTCTCACACAGGTGTAAATAGGGGTAGGAGTGCTGAAACTGGATGAAGGACTGCTGGGGTGACGACGCGGCCCCTCTTGCGTTCTGCAAGTCTTCAGACGTCTCATCCACTATCTCGTCCACCTCCGGTCTGGTACTTTCCTCGATGACCTCGGCAGCCGTCTCACACTTGACGCTCTGGAGTTCGGCCTCCAGCCTGGACTCGGGCTCTAGAGGCATGTGCCAATCTTTCCCCTTGTTTGGACTCAGACTCATTTCCTCAGAGATCCTGTTGACCTCTTGATTTTGCTGCTTCACATATTTGGACTGATAAGAGTGGCTCCAGGACTGAGATTCTGAAGCCTAAACCCAGAGGAACATCTACTGTCAAACAGTTTCTGGTCTGACAACCAATGAAATCACACACCTTACAGGGAAGCCCTTTGTTATGAAACAGTAGCCCTGTGAAACTAGTGTTTAATGCTTTCTTTGTCATGGAAAATTTCAAAAGGATGGAAACGTCTTAGAAATCAATATGATCTCAATCATCAAAGAATCCTGGCAATTCGATCATTTGATGATTAAGGATCTTATTTCCAAAAACACCACTCAAAACAACATGATTTGGATTGTTATTCCAGCAAAACCAAGGGCATTTCTAGAAGTCTGTTATTTTCTTTAAAAGAACATTTCCTCAGTAAATGATAAGTAACATCAGTAACTTACATTTAGAAATGTTACATTTGTGTCCACATTTGATTTTGAGTTTGAACTCTCCAAACTGAGGTCTTCAGATTCCTTGAGGACCCCTTGTTCTTTTGACATGGAGATATGTGACAGTTTCCCCTGTTGCTGCTGCTGCTGAAACGACAGCTGCTTGTCCAAATCCACATAGATGAAGCCAGGTTTTGCACAGTTAATCTTAACAGAGTTCGCCCCTTTATGAATCGACTGAGGAGAGCTTATAAACAGTTTTTGCTCATCCTTTGTTCGTTCCTTTTGCTCAGATCCTCGTCTAACTTGACCTCTACTTTGCTTGCTATACTGCATTTCCTCACAGCATGCCTCACTGAGAGGTCTGTGGGTGCTGGGCATCATTAGAACCTTCTGGTCCATTGAAACACCCCGGCTGTACTGTCCATAGTACAAAGACTGAGCCAGCGCTGTGTGCGTTTCAGCGTACTGAAGCTGTGATTGGGAACTTGAGTGGCTAGAGGATTCTGAGCTTTTTATATCCTCATTTAAATCTCTCAAATCATCCTTCGTCCGACCGTAAGGTGAGGCCACCTTATGGAACGAAGTGGAACTGGCTTGCCCAGAATGCATGTAACCTGGGATGCAATGGGATTCATAACCATGGCCGTGAGATGTGGACTGGACCTCTTTTCCTGGGGTCACCGTGGGAGTGGTACTCACTGAGGGAATTTTGGGATTGATGTTGCTGTTTGAGTTAGAATCTTGTGTCGAGTTCCTTCTAGATCTTGAGTTTGATCCACCGTCCTCAGCTGCATCGGATATGTCGGAGTATGCAGGACTGTTTGTTTTAGCACTCACTCCATCTCCGTTTGTAAGAGGGACGCAGTCCATTCTTGCAGAGCTCCCGATGGAAGGACTCGGTGCATTGTCTGAGAAGGTGTACACCTTGTCGGCCTCGGCTCTGATACTCGCCATGCGGCTTTCTTGCGTTTCACTTGGACCGTTTACAACATCTTGCTTGCTCAAATGCTCTTTCAAGAGGCTCACGGGAAAGTCTTTCCCGATAGTCTTTGTATCATCCGCTTTTGTGTATATCGGGTCACTTTTGGGACTCCGGGGATCTTTACAATTCCTGTCCTTTAATCGATGCTTTTCCTTTCTCTTACTGTCTTTGCTCAGGACTGAGGCGGTGTTGGCCATGTTAACTTGTGCAATAACGTCCAGCTTTGGCTTGATGGGTTTCAGTGAGAGGTTCTTGGCTTTTGTGAGGGCAACAGTTGGAGAAGCCTGATGAGAAGAAACTTCTGTGATTTTAGTGGAAAATGCAGCGGGTGGAATAGCGGTCAGCTTCGGAGGAGCAGGGGCAGCGTTGATGAGTCTGTTGGTTCGAGACTTGGCTAAGCATCTCTCAGTGAACCCTTCTTTCTTAACTTTGCTACATATGTCCCTCTTATCAATAACACCCTCTGCTTCGAGCTTAGGCATCTCAACAGATGTACTACGATCCGTCATGAGGCAGTTCTCAAGGACAACGGACATGTTGGAAATGAGTGGGAGGTTGCTCAGATCATCTATGGATCCATCTTTACTTGCCACATTAGGGCGTAGTTTTGCATTGGCTTTGGGACTGCTATCATTGTTGAGCAATGCTTTCCTGCTCTTTGGAGAACCGACTGCATTGAGTTTATACATGCTTCTGGGCTTCTTGGAGATGATGTTCTCAGAAGAATCAAAAGGTACCGAGCTGAGTGCTTCATCAAAATCTGAAAGCCTGTCCTCGCTCTCCACCTCAAACTCTTGCTTTCTGTCACTGTTCAGGTGAGCGTGTGACTGGTGGTAACGGAGCCCGTTGATATGTTTGTACTTCTTGTTGCAGTTCGGATGCGGACAGTCTATTAGCATTGGGGACGCGCAAACTTGATCAAGAAACACAGGGTCGGATTTACCCTGAGGGGTGGAAGGAGCGCTCCTGGATTTGGCTCGTATCCTTTTCCCATTCCCATTCCTAATGTCCTCCGAGACCAAACTTAAATCTAGATCGGCTGGGGCTTTGCCTTTTCGTTTTCCACATATAAGTGAATTGGATTTGATGTCCTCCATGGCGTAGTATCCAGGTGTCCTACAGCCACTGAGGTTCAGACTCCCTCGTCTTCCTTTGTTGCCGATTCCCACTCCGCGCCTCTTGTGAGTTAGCCCTCGTATCTTGGAAAGACTCGGGTCTACAGCTGGTTGATCTGGTATGGCCAGCCGCATCCGTTTACCACGTCCACGCGCATAAGGCATTTCAGAATCACTCATTGGTGATTCACAAAACCTAGTTAAGAACAACAAGGAGTTATAAGTGCATGTAAATAAATCAACTTTCTTTAAATGAACGGATCTAAAATCAAAACGGGTTTGACTCTAGACCTAAAATACGTCTTGAATCTTAATTTAAATGTGTATATACACTACAAGTCAAGCATTCAAGAAGTAAGGAAGGTGTTTTACCGTGGTGGAGCCCAGTCATGCTTGGTACAGTCCAAGAGAGTGCCCACATAGGTCCTTTTCCTCCATGTGACATTCACAACTAGAACCCCTGAAATCAAAGTGAAACAGTCACAGAAATGAGTCCCTCTAAAAAATATTAAAAGTAAAAAGCAACCAAAATATTCCAAAAGATTAAAACATTTTCGAAAGGATTCATTCTGTGCTTGATCTCAGTGATGGAAGTTAAGATGGTGGTCTGCAATTTTAATTTGCTTAATCAATATGCAACCAGTGTCTCCTCTTCCTCCAAATTCTTCCGTCTCACAGCTGCTTTGAAAACGCAGTCCTGTGGAGCTAATGACAAAACTCGCCCTAAACTCATCACATATCCAGTGTAACCAATTTGAATACAGTCATTCATAATGTGGTGAAGAAGAAAATGTGATGCAAGATACTAACTGGAAACACATGCATGCAGACAATTTCACAACAGTATATTGTATATTGTTTTATATATGTGAGACATTGCACAGAATAACATGCTCTCACCTTCCTCCGTTTCATGCCACACAATACCCTCTAGATTGACACTCGTTCCTGGTTGACATGGCTCCATGTAGCTGGACTCGAGGGCTTTCTCGGCTTCCTGTGTGTTAGTTCCAACCGACCGCGTCTTAACACTCAACTGGAGAGAGAGAGAGAGAGCACAAACACAGTGCTAGCTGAAGTATAATGCAGTTGCATGCGCTCATGCCACACAATACCCTCTAGATTGACACTCGTTCCTGGTTGACATGGCTCCATGTAGCTGGACTCGAGGGCTTTCTCGGCTTCCTGTGTGTTAGTTCCAACCGACCGCGTCTTAACACTCAACTGGAGAGAGAGAGAGAGAGAGCACAAACACAGTGCTAGCTGAAGTATAATGCAGTTGCATGCGAGTTTCTTTTTGATTTTGCATTTGACTTTTGTATTTTTAAATTCAACAATCAAGTGATCACGTAATCCTCCTCATTCAAGGAGAACACACAAAACCTCTTACAGCATTAAGTCGGCATGTCAGTACAGCCCTGTGAATGGTGGTGTCTTTCTGAGCGATGTCACTGGAATCAAGGCGAAATGAAAAAGACATCTAGATGTACAGGGACAATAGTGCAGAATGGCCAAGACTGGAGGAGGTGGAGCTTGTCTCTATGTTTAAAACTGTAAATATCACAAGCATCTTGGCTTCAAACAAGCCAGTATGTCTTTGTCCAAAACAAGCAGAGGGAATTGTGATGCTTAGGTTTCCATTGGCAACAGACGTGAAGAATTTCACAGGGGCTGCGTTAACAAAGGAAATGGCTGACAAACAAAAGAAAACCTCTCTATATTGCTATTGCAAACCAAGCCAACCAAAACGACTTCATTGCACGGAAGGTGTTTGGTGCTCTTTTTGTTTTTGACGAATCTCGCCGGCTGGAAAGAGATTCACGTAGCCTAGCTCACAAAGCAGCAAACAGACACGGAAGCACCTTTTGGTTTCAGCGTCATTCTCAAGCACACAAACACTGAATCCGCCATCAGCTCAACCTGCTCGTTTCTTCACGTCCATAACGGATCGTGATAGTTGCACACATTAGCAGTCTGACTGCATGATGGGATTGGTATCATGATCGCACGGGTCATTTGGACGCATTACACGCGCATTATCAACTTGGTGATTCGACATGAAGGTTTCTGAAGGACAGATGTGAGCTTACCGTCCTCAGGCTGTTCTCCTCGGTGCTCGTGTCGTCAGTGTGGTCAACAATAGCCGCGTCCATTCCGCCCCTACCGATGAGATTCTCCGTTCCTCCCAAGGCGCTTCCGTTCTCTGACAGCGGGCCGAATTCATCGCTAGGCTTCTCTTTCCGCGTCCTCGCCGAGTCTTTCTCTCTTTTCACTCCTTTGCTCTGGGTTTTGCCCTTTTTGCAGTCTTTGGCTCGGGCGGGCGGCGTGGGCTGGTCGCTGTCCACCGGCGCTGGTGCTGAATTCATCTCTCCGCCGCGTCCTTGAGCCTCGCGCCGCTTACCGACGCAAACTTTAGGAATGCCGCTCACCATCTCCAGCGACGGGAATCGATCCGCATCCGTGGTGGAATTCCTGCGTTTCAGCTTGAATTTCTTGGGCTCTTTGCAGAGGAGCGTCTGCTCGCTGGCGGCGGAGGCTCGCGTCAGGCCGTCGAACGCGGCGCCTGCGCTCGAGCAATTGTATTCGAGCTCTTCGCGACCTTCCACCGCGCTTTTAACGCTCAAAACGCGATTCATCTCCAATCTCTGTCGATCCTTCTCCAAATCCGCGTCCAGGTCGATGATCAGATTCCCAACCCCGATCTCCCAGTCATCCCCGCTGTCATCCGGATCCGCTCCGTGCGTCTTGATTCTCTGCTGAAGGGAGGAACTGACTGACATTCTCCACACAGGATTTCTGACAGAAAACGGTGATGAATCCTAAATCAAGTGGATGGGAGGGTATTAATCACACACGAGTGCTAATGGAAACTGAATTGCCGTGGTGCTGGAGAAACGCTCGTGACTGAACTCTCAACACATTAAAACATCTTAGATCAACATGTGTAACTAATGTTTTGAGTGAAGCAATGATTGTGTTGCAAGTGAATCCATCAATAAGTTACAGCAGCATCGTCATGTTTTATTTTCTGAAGGCCTTAAAAAGTATTAAATCAGAGCAGAAAGTCCCAAAGTCATGTTGCAAAGCATGAATATCTTCCTGAGTATTTATTGTTTTCCAAATGTCTAAACATCAAAACATTAACTCAAGGAACTTACAACAAATGTCTTCAAATATTGAACGAAATAAAGTGAGTTTAAGCTTAAAACAAGTATCTGTCAATGCAGTATGAAAACTTTGCCTTTAATTAAGTTGATTTTGATCCTAAACTCACTTCAATTTGATCAGTTTCTCAGAAAACAAGACTTCTTAAAGTCATTTTGCATTTCAAGTAAATGTATTGTGATTTAAGATTCTTTAGACATTTGCACTGGAAAACAAGACAAAAACACTGATTAAGAACATTTTGACATATTGTGTTCCCTTCAATTTATTCCTTAAATACTTGGTCTTAAAGTCTTATAGCTTTATCAAACACTGATTTACACTGCCACACTTGTTTCTTTAGTTTCTGCTCAAGTTGGAGCTTCAGCTCAAATGATTTAAATCATTAATTAAATTAAAAGTCAAAAAATGCAATGAACTACACTGTAAAAAGGGCATATGTGCATTTGTGTGTATTAGTTAGCAGTCGCATTTTCAATTACCCCGAATAAGCATTTCTCACAGTTTATAGCTGCAATAAACTGCAATTTTACCTTTTTTTGTTTTAATATTCATGGACATGATACAATAATGCACGGAAAACACAAATTACATAGTTAAAATCAAGGCCATTTATTTAATGCATTGCATCTTTCTTGTCTAGAACAGTGTTTTTTAACATTTGCATTGGCACTAAGACACGTACAAACTCACTTTCTCCAGAATTATCAGAATTAGTAGGTTCTTAGTAAACTATGTGATAGCGTCTAAGAACAGCAGCCTGAATAGATACTGTGTAGACTGACGGCGTTTGAAGATATGATGAAGATAAGCTCAAATATGTTCAGAGCGAGTTTGACTGTAGGAGGCAAGAATTTCATTTCAGGCTTGGCGATGAGAAATGGCATCACTGTTCTGGATTAAGAAAAATAAAGGGGTTTTACTTTTATCCCCAGAGTGTTAGTGCAAAAATGGACATTAAAGGATAGTTCACCCAAAAATGAAAATGTTGTCATCATTTACTGTCGTTCCAAACCTGTATGAAAAGAAGCTATTTTGAAGGTTTGTAAATGATGACAGAATATTCATTCTTGGGTGAACTGTCCCTTTAAATTTATTTCAAGCATCATATGTGACCCTGGAGCACAAAACCAGTCATCAGGGTCAATTTTCCGAAATTGAGTAGGGCATATGTGCATTTGTGTGTATTAGTTAGCAGTCGCATTTTCAATTACCCCGAATAAGCATTTCTCACAGTTTATAGCTGCAATAAACTGCAATTTTACCTTTTTTTGTTTTAATATTCATGGACATGATACAATAATGCACGGAAAACACAAATTACATAGTTAAAATCAAGGCCATTTATTTAATGCATTGCATCTTTCAATGTCTCTCTTGTCTAGAACAGTGTTTTTTAACATTTGCATTGGCACTAAGACACGTGCAAACTCACTTTCTCCAGAATTAGTAGGTTCTTAGTAAACTATGTGATAGCGTCTAAGAACAGCAGCCTGAATAGATACTGTGTAGACTGACGGCGTTTGAAGATATGATGAAGATAAGCTCAAATATGTTCAGAATGAAGTTCTTAGCAATGCATATTACTAATCACAAATTAAGTTTTGATATATTTACGGTAGGACATTTACAAAATATCTTCATGGAACATGATCTTTACTTAATATCCTAATGATTTTTGGCATAAAAGAAAAATGGATAATTTTGACTCGTACAATGTATTGTTGGCTATTGCTACAAATATACCCCAGCGACTTAACACTGCTTTTGTGCTCCAGGGTCACATTTGATCTGCTCTTTTAGAGGTAAGTGTTGTTACATTAAAAATATCTACTAGTAAACTTTTCTGTAGCACTGGTTATTTCAGCTCAATATATTAAATATACTGTAAGTCGATTTGGCAACAGCGAACAAATCTGGTCAATATACAAATGTACTGATTGTAACACAGTCACGTCTGGTTCTCTTCACGAGTAGAAGGTCAGAACACTCTGATGGTTTCCTCGGACAAGAAGAATCGGTGGCAGATCTTTAGTTAACGTGTCCAGCCAGGTCATGTAAAGAGCGCTGGACACCGTCCCCTTCCTGGCGAGCGGCATGGTTCTGTCAAACCCAAATGAATCAGATGCTCAGATGAATCAAATCATCAGCCAAAAGACAGTATCAGGCACCTGTGTGCTTCATAAGGGCCGCATATATTCAAATGAAGTGTTTTATTTGTTAAATGTGTGGTCAGTACTTACATGACAATGAGGTTGGCTGTGCTCGAGTGTTCCTTCAGAAGCTCGTTCAGTCTGATCTGGCGATTCGACTAAATGAAAGAACAGTAAGAACTGATGTCACTCGCATGTTGATGCTATTTCAGACATTATCTGGGGCCATTCACACAGATCAAAGCAAAAAGGTCGAGACATGGGCAGTGGAACTGGGGAAAAAACGCAAGGTCTAGAGATGTGTTTTTTAAAAGCTGAATTTCTTTTACTTTTCACTTGAACTTCTTGTGCTCTTGCATTATCAGCACACGTTTTTCCTGTTTAACACTGTAAAGCTGCTTTGACATTAGTGACTTGTCTTTTAACTGTGTTTTTAGATGCAGTTTTGTGTGTGTTTACATAGAAAAACAATGGAAAAGTAGTGCAGTGGAATGGAAAAACATGTTCTGTGGTCAGTTCTTTATATCTGTTTGTATAACATGGGAATTCTAAATATACTGCCAGTTCAAACCTGTTTTGTTAATAGGGACGGAAAATCATAAGGGTTTCGGTTTTGAGGATGCAAATGACTTTTATAACCACTGCAACTGAGTTTGAGTAGTCTGAAACTGATTTGCATGGAAGCCCGTTTCTGCCACTGCATAAAAAATGAAAAAGGTAATTGTCACTTTTTGTCTCACAATTCTGACTTTTTTTCTCAGAATTGCGCTTGTTATAAAGTCAGAATTGCGTGATATAAACACACAGTTCTGAGAAATAAAGTCAGAATTGACAAACATGAAATTGTAAGAAAATAGCCTTTTTTCCTTAGAATTAGACTTTAAAACTCCTGGGGAAAAAACGCAAGGTCTAGAGATGTGTTTTTTAAAAGCTGAATTTCTTTTACTTTTCACTTGAACTTCTTGTGCTCTTGCATTATCAGCACACGTTTTTCCTGTTTAACACTGTAAAGCTGCTTTGACATTAGTGACTTGTCTTTTAACTGTGTTTTTAGATGCAGTTTTGTGTGTGTTTACATAGAAAAACAATGGAAAAGTAGTGCAGTGGAATGGAAAAACATGTTCTGTGGTCAGTTCTTTATATCTGTTTGTATAACATGGGAATTCTAAATATACTGCCAGTTCAAACCTGTTTTGTTAATAGGGACGGAAAATCATAAGGGTTTCGGTTTTGAGGATGCAAATGACTTTTATAACCACTGCAACTGAGTTTGAGTAGTCTGAAACTGATTTGCATGGAAGCCCGTTTCTGCCACTGAATAAAAAATGAAAAAGGTAATTGGCACTTTTTGTCTCACAATTCTGACTTTTTTTCTCAGAATTGCGCTTGTTATAAAGTCAGAATTGCGTGATATAAACACACAATTCTGAGAAATAAAGTCAGAATTGACATAAACATGCAATTGTAAGAAAATAGTCTTTTTTCCTTAGAATTAGACTTTAAAACTCAATTCTGAGAAAAACTGAATTGCGAGAGAAAAGTCAGAATTGTGAGATATAAACATGCAATTGTAAGAAAATAGTCTTTTTTCCCCCCCCTCAGAATTGGACTTTATAACTCAATTCTGAGAAAAGTCGTCAGAATTGTGAGAAAAAAGTCAGAATTGCAAGATATAAAAAGTCACAATTACCTTGTTTTATGTTTTATTCAGTGGCGGAAACGGGCTTCCATAGATTTGAGTCTTTTGATTAATTCATTAAAAAGAATCAGTTCTTAAGAGTCTTTTGTTCAGACCACACTATGTTTGTGTGCAATTAGTGAAAACTGCACAATAGAAATGTTGTTTATTTGTCTTTGTATTATTTTGTGGTCCTCAGTGTTTCTCTCTCATCACATTCAAACTTAAACAGAAGTAACTCAACTAAAACATCATTTCTAGAATGTAAATTCAGTAGCAGCGCAGGCAACACTGTCAGAGTATTGTTGTTCAGTCTACACTGATGGCAGAATATAGACATTTAAGAACTATTAGCAGATCAAATCATCATGAAAAAATCAATTGGTTCCAATATTTTTTCTTTAACAATGTAACTGCTTCTAAATAAGATCCATCCAAATAAGGCTGGTTAGTATGTGCTCCTGGAAGAGCTATGTCTTAAGGCGTCTTTCTGATTAGTTCTCACACATAAGAGTGCCATCTCAAAGCAATGTAAGAGTAGCTGATGGTAACCTTGGCCCTGTAGAGCTCCAGCTCATTATCTGTGATCCTCCAGGGTTCTTCAGCCTTCAGTTTCTCAGCGGCTTCTTGCTCCATGTCGTCCTCGTTCAGTCTGTACGGCTCGATCATCTCCTCAAACATCTTCTTGCTGAGCACAAAATCAAACAACAGCTGCTTCTCGTGGATACCGGAGCAAAACATGCTCATTATTAGCCAATGGATCGAAACTTACTTGTGCTTCTTTGGCTTAATGTTGATGTCTCCAAGAACGGTGATGTCAGAGAAGTCAATCCTGAACTTACTGAGCAACGCCGCCATTCTGCGCGAGACCAAATGCTTTAGTGGTTTTCACTAAATGTAGCTGAATATCTCCATTATTTAAATGGCTTTATTTGTTAAACGAGTTTGGACACACTGACTGAATTCCTCAGGATCTTAAAAATCGTAAGGTCTTAAGACTTCGTCTTCTTTATAAAACCAAGCAAAAGAACAAAATACATTCAACGTAATACTCACGCTCTGCGGTCGTGGTCGATCCTGTTTATCTTTCCTCCAATGAACACGCGGATCTTGCAGTCGCGCCATTTATTTTTGTTGGTTAGCAAATACGGTATCAAAAGAGTCAAGCCTACAATGAGTAATCAATCACAGCGTCATTTATTGAAGCTACATAATCATCAAACTACACTGAAATGGAAATAACTCTTTACCTCCGTCGTCAAACAGCCACCAAACATCAATGGTTCCTTTGCTCTGTTTCTTCTGGAACTGTTGACTAGCGGTCAGAAGTTTCTCGTCCGCAGGACTGAGCTGCATCGGAGGCTTCTTGGTGTCTGAAACCACACATGCATCGTCAAGAGAGGAGAAATTAGCATCAGCTTACCAGGTACATAAATCTGAGACACCAAAAGCCATTCCGTGGAGAATTAACATTCATCGTGAATTTACACTCTAAAAAATGCTGGGCTGTTTCAACCCAACTTTGGGTCAAATATGGACTAACCCAACTTTTGGGTTAAAACTTTGATTTAAAAATTTAACCCAACAGCTGGGTTAGTTCATATTTGACCCAACATTGGGTTGAAACAACCTAGCATTTTTAAAGTGTAAGAACAAGATCAGGACTAATCCCTGAGCGTATTGAGTCTGAGGTTCTGAAGAACACAAATCTGTACATTCCTACATTGAAGGAAATTCATGAACTGGAGGATATTTGGAGTAGCTCTAATGGGAACACAATAAAATGGACAAAGACTTGAGCTCAGTCTTTTTCCGGTTTACTCTCTTCACACAAACACTCATTAAAGGATTAGTTCACCCAAAAGATGAAAATGTTTCCAAACAGCTGATAAAAACATCACAATAATCCACAAGTAATCCACAGCACTCCAGTCCATCAGTTAACATCTGGAGAAGACAAAAACTGAAACTAATTCAGCATTAAGACGTTTTGAACTAAAATACCATAGAGTCCATAATCCATAATAACTCTTCCTCCAGTGAAAAAGTGCATCTCCTGTTGTCTCTCACATCAAAATCCAGCCACATATTTACATATTTAAACGCTGCTTGATCTGTGCAGATTTCTCTCCTGATTCAGACCAGAACACTTTTTCACTGGAGGAAGCGTTATTATGGATTATGGACTCATATTTTTTATGGATTATATGGACTTTTAGTTAAAAGCGTCTTAATGCTGGATTTGTTTCAGCTTTTGTCTTCTCCAGATGTTAACTGATGGACTGGAGTGCTGTGGATTATTTGTGGATTATTGTGATGTTTTTATCAGCTGTTTGGACTCTCATTCTGACGGCACCCATTCACTGCAGAGCATCCATTGCTGAGACACTGATGCAATGCTACATTTCTACAAACCTGATGAAGAAACAAACTCATCCTAATCTTGAGCACATTTTCATTTTCGGATGAACTATTCCTTTAACCGTGCAGCACGTCATGATTTTCTGACCTCTGAAGATGAGCGGGCTGCTTTGGCAGCTGGTGGATTTAGATGATGGTTTTGAGGAATCGCTGTCAAAGTCTTTGATGTTGATGGACACCAAGAGATCCTTCATTCCAGGAGCTTTCTCCTGCGAGGTCTGAATTTCATCTGAAGAAAGACCAACAGAAGCGGAGTTAAAATCACTGATGAAAAGACTCAAACCATTTACACTTTAGCCAGGAAACTCGACCTTGAATGTGAGAGATGTCGAGACCTTCCTTCAGTCTCAAGAGAACCACCCCGAACTGCAGGTCAAACGCGTCACTGAAACACACACAGCGATCATTCAGATGAAGATTTCAGTTCTTAAAGATGAAGACATGAAGAGCGTCACACAGTCAGACTCACTGGATGGTGTTGATGTAGGTTTCCACATCCTTCATCTCACCGTTCCTCCAGTTGTTCTTAAAGCCAAACACCAGTGTGTTGGGTTTTAGGCGACCCAAACCAGTGGTCTGTGAATCCCAACAACATCAGGTTTACTCTTAGTTTTAAATGCGTTCTGATTCAGTTCATTACATGAGCTCTTCGTTCTGACCTGTAGAAGATACTGGGCTCCTTGTCTGAGATCATCAGCAAACACAGGAGTGTAAAAGGCTTTGATTTGTGTCTTCAGGAGCCAGCGCTGATAGCGGACCTGCTCGTTCATCATGTCCTTATAGTTCGGCCTACGGAATCCCTGTGGAAAAATGCAAGGACAAGTGCATGTTTGGTTGAGTAGCTGCTCATAACTCATAATGTGTCAGATGTTTATTGAATTTACTAACCGTGCGCACATGGCCACAGACCATCAAGCCCACGTTTTTGGTGAAGGCGTGCACTAGATACAGCAGCGCCGGTCTTGAGTTTGGGTATCCGGACATTACGAGACACTGAGGCCTGTGGGAAAATGATTTAAGTTCTCTCTATAGAGTCACATATGACAGCATCTGCATCTGTTGGTGGATCACCTGAAGTTCTTGATATGGTCCTCAACCCCCGTGAGATGCAGACTGTGCGTTAGTGCCTTATTGTACATCAGCGCTTGTGTCGACGAACCCCAGTTGACATCTGAAGCAGAAAGATGCATTTTGACACTCAGTTGTGATTTATGACTTTAAAACATAAGCGATAACACGTTACAATAAAGCCTCAAATTAGTTGAAGGGACAGTTCACACCAAAATCTAAATTCTGTCATCATTTACTCACCCTCATGTTGTTCCAAACCTGTATGAGTTCCTTTCTTGTGGATAGAAGATATTTTGAAGAATGTTGGTAACCAAACAGTTGTTGGTAGCCATTGACTTCCATAGTAGGGGGGAAAAAACACTATGGAAGTCATTGGCTACCAGAAACTGTTTGGTTACCAACATTCTTCAAAATGTCAGAACTGAATCTTCTCTCTGGCGACGTATGCAGGATTCTCCAATCATTTAGTGTACTTAAACTCCGCCCCTGCAGGGCACGCTCTTCTGAGAGCCACGCCCACATCCCAACATCCAATCAACAACCGATGCATGAACCAAGTCCCATCCTACAGTTTTCTTTGTCGATAATCTCACATCACAATACAGAAGAAAAGATCTGTCGATACTTCAGTTTTATTGCGACAAATGAGACCTTATTGTAAAGTGTTTTCACATAATCATAATGAACTGAAAACAGAACTGACCTGGTTTCTTGTAGCTGACGTAGATGTAGAGCGCCAGGACGATGACGTTTGTGAGCAGCGCCGCCCACCAGTTGATCACGAACATCACCACGCAGCACAGCACGGCTCCGGCTAACGACACCCACTTGTTATAGTATTTGAAGCTCGGACGCCACCCTGTTCAGACAGAGATCTGTGAATTACTCACTGATGAATGAAACCATCAGTGTCAGCGACCTGAGGAGGAACACCACGCTCATTTTCAGTTTCATCAGTGAGGATTTCTGCTTCACACTTGCCTGGGGAGTTCGCCATCGACGCGTGGAAAACAGAGAAATTTATCAAGGCGTAAGAGGCCAAGAAGAAGTTGGAAATGATGGGAGCGATGATGTTTAACTCAGCTGAAACACCAACACACTGGATTTTAGACACAGTCTCTGTCATTGACGTGTAAGCAGATAAGTCAGCATTAAGTGGGGTGTAGTTTACCGATCAGGATGAAGGCCAGGCCGATGATGAAGGTGAGAACGTAAGCACGCAGAGGCTCTTTGTTCTTCCCGTATCCTTTGGCAAACACATGCATTCCAGGGTAGATTTTATCCTTACACAAGGCCTATAAAACCACACACACATTAAACTCCTCCATCGACTCACACAACAGATAACCTGAAGAACAGAATGAGGGTTATATGAAACATTATAAGATCATAGGAAACTCTGATATATAATATTTGGCCAATATATGTAACCCTGCAGCACAAAAGCAGTCTTAAGTCGCTGGGGTATATTTGTAGCAATAGCCAACAATACATTGTATGGGTCAAAATTATAGATTTTTCTTTTATGCCAAAAATCATTAGGATATTAAGTAAAGATCATGTTCCGTGAAGATATTTTGCAAATTTCCTACTGTAAATATATCAAAACTTAATTTTTGATTAGTAATATGCATTGCTAAGAACTTCATTTGAACAACTTTAAAGATGATTTTCTCAATATTTAGATTTTTTTGCACCCTCAGATTCCAGATTTTCAAATAGTTGTATCTCAGCCAAATATTGTCCTATCCTAACAAACCATACATCAATGGAAAGATTATTCAGATGATGTGTACATCTCAATTTAAAAAAATTGACCCTTATGACTCCAGGTTTTGTACTCCAGGGTCACATATAGGGTATGGGCATGCAAGATGCTTTATCATTCATCGTTTACGCATTTGGTAGACACTTTTAATCCAAAGCGATTTACATTGCATTGCATCAAGCTTTCCATGCTTTCAGTTCATGCATTCCCTTGGAATTGACCGTAACCGTAACCTGTCTATGTCCGTCAAACACAATGATTATGCTCGCTCGCTGATGCACCTGATGATTGTGTAATAAATGACTCCAAATGCAACTTATCATAGTTGATCACTGCACAAAAATCAGAAAGCGCACGCTTTTGTATCAGGAAGATACTGCAGAAGGTGAGAAAATAGGGGAAAGTGTCAAGAAATCAGAGAGGAAAAATGTGTAACGGATGCAAATAGGTAATTCATGTGTTTTTCTTGTGCTCATCACATTAATTATTACTTATCAGACCACAGAGCTGTTGAAACCAGAGACTCACACCATTCAGCATGCATCTGTTTTTAAAATAAAACCAAATAATCCACACACATACAGAGAAATCAGCAGATGCATCTTGGATGAAGCCCATGTGCATTTTGAGGTGCTTAATGTAGATAGAGATTTATGATGGGAATAAACCAAATATCCTCCTCAGATTTTAAGACGATGAAGAATTCTGCCATATAACACTTTATGTAATTGTCTAAATTTGATCTGGTGTTAATGAAAACTGCCCAAACACACAAGCTTTATTTGTAGTCATTTCTGTAACGGAGAAAATATGGCAGAATCATGGAAGTGAACGAAAGTCAGTGTCAGTTCTTTACTTTTTTTGAGATTACTGGCTGATTTCGGGGACGCAACGAACAAAACTCCATGAACTAGCAACTCTGGATACCTAGTATCCAAATTACAATACCTTTTAACCAAAGTTAAAGAAATTCTTCAGAAGGAGGTTTGTTTGTGTCCTGACCTGGAAGACTTTGGGAGCGCTGACCAGAGACGCCAGCGCCGATGAGAGAGTGGCAGAGAAGATCCCAGCTGTAATCAGTGGCCCAAAGCCAGACACCAAACTCATCACCTGAAATGATATGATATGTATGATATAGCACTTTATTGTCAGACGAGTCTGAAATGTTTCTTGCATGACAGTATCTATGTTTATAACAATCAACATCCTACCCTCATCCGTCCCTCGGGTCATTTTGACCCAAAAAGTTTTTTCAAAAAATCATGTTGATCATACAAGATTTCTTTACTTTTGTCACACTCGCACTGGGAATACACCAAATGGATTCGAGGAGTTTAAATGGGTGCAATAAAAAAAGTAACAAAAGTGTCCCTCGTGGGTCATTTTGACCCGAATAGGAATGAATGGAATTTACGAGAAAACTGCATTTTTCATTACATTAGATTTTTTTTAATATACAAAATCTGAGACAATCCAGTAAAGATTTATACCCAAACGAAGGGTTGAGACTACAGAATATCCCCAATGCAGAAAAAACTCACATACGCACACGCACACACACATGCACAAACACACACATGGTACACACACTCCCATAGAACACATTATAATATGTTTCATGTTTCTGCTGGGATATGACTGTCATTTTCCCATTTTTTTGACTTAACACAGTTAAATTTGAGTGATGTGGTGGAGACCAATGAGTTTATACCATATTTATATTTAAAAAAAAATATTATATATTTATTTCATATTTATGAAATTGTATGAACATACATATGTTTAGGTTATAATTCAGTTATTTTTTACAAAATATGGATTTTGTAATGTTTCAATATATATTTTAATCCATAAACAACCAAATTGAAGTTCTCATGTTTCATTTGTTTTGCTCATTTAAAAATCTCCATAGGGTTCTATAGGCCCCTCTAGTGGCTCTAACCATAAAATGCAATTTTATGTAATTTTTCCCCGCCAGATGGCATCAGAGACACTCAGTGACTCAATCCCAATGCCATCTGTTGGTTTTTGATGAAACAGGACTGAAATTGTGTCTTTCTTTGTTTTTTTTGGTGAAATAATGTACAAAAACTACTTATTTGCTTATGTTTTCTTAAAAATATCCAGAATAAAAGGTAAATATGATAAAAAAAAATCACCAAAAAAATAATAGAAAAATGCATCATATCTGAAATATGCACCTACATAAAAAATTTGAAAAAAAAAGTTCCAATATAAGCTTTCTGAACCAAAAATAAAATGAGTGTCATTTTTGGCCTTCGGGTCATTTTGACCCGCGAGGGACACTTTTGTTATAGGTTCGGGAGGGAC